ATAGATAATACAACTATCGATATATATCTATTACACGATTACTATCGATATAAATAAAATCGATATATATCGATGATAAGATATTTATCGATATATACCTATTACCGGTATATATTGATTATTGGTAATATATCGTTATATATCCTAAATTATCGATAAATGCCGTTTTTATCTTATCGATATATATCGATGTTTTGCTATTTATCGATATGTATCTATATAAAAAATTTTCTGATGAAAGCTAGTAGCAATTCTGGTGACACTCCTAGTAATATCTAAAGAAAAAGAAGTTGAGGTAAGAACAGATAGTAGTGCATCTATCTTTGCAATCAAAAAAGAACTCAAAGCAAATAAAGCTAGACAATGGCTTAAAACTAAAAATGGTAGTTTGATTGTAACAATAGTAGAAACAGTTAAAACAAAGCAACTAGTTCTCTATCTTACCAAAGTGAAGGATTACTCAGGAGATTTTTTTAATAATTTGGCAAATCTTAAATCCAAGAAAGGCATATCTTCCATAGAACTTTTAATTCTCACAGTTTTGAGTACAAAGAAATTCAAGTTAAGATATAAGTAGGAAAATGAAGTTATAGAAAAGCCAATATGCTCTTTTGTCAAAATGGTAAATAAAGTAATAAATAGAACTTTTGTATATAATAGTCAAAATATAACATACCAAGAAAGAAAGATCTTACAGTACTGGCCAATTTTTTATAGACTATTAGAAAGTGAAACCAAGCAGTGAAATTATATATACAAGTTAAATTCAATGCAGCTTTTTGAATTAAAGTGTATAAACAATTTTTTACCAGTATTAGAAAAGCTCAACAGAAGAAAACCAGATATATACAAAATAGACAAATACATTATATGCAAGAAGAAGCCAGAAAATATAGAACATTTAGTAAGCTATAAGGTATCATTAAATTTAGGGTGCAAAATGGGCCAGGTTCAACCTGAGATTTTGTGGGTTGGATCAGGTTTGGGCCTGGGTCAGGCCCAAATTTTAGGCCTGCTATAAACGGGTCGGGCTCGGATCGGGTTTAATAAAGTATCAGGTCGGGCTTAGGCTCTGTTAATTAAACCGTAAAACCTGAGAAGGGGCCCTAATTTCCCCCACCAGTTGTGATTGGTCACATGAAATACTATCTTCAATTGGGTAAACTAGATTACGCCACCGCAAAATCAAAAAGAAAATTCAAATAATTATTAAGCAAAAGTTTATGCACTTTAAAATTCTTGTAGTAAAAAAAAAAAAAAAAAAATCGAAATAATCTAAACAATCTAAACATTAATAAAAATAAGTGCTTCTGACACAAACAAGAAATTTTATAAGTCTTTTGTTTGGTACTTTATTCTCAGAGAATAAAATTTTGTTGAGACTTACGTTTACAAGCTTGTAATTTTAAAAAATACCAAATCTGTTTCAAAATTCCTTAATTATATTCTGGCCGCAATTTTACTTTTGTTTAAAAAATAATTAACATGAACATTTGAAATATTTTAAAGATACTGTTACAATACTGCAAATAAATAGAATGCTACTGCAAATTGCTAATTAATAGATTGTTTTTTTTAAATACTAATACAATAATGTATTTAAGTTTTCAAAAGCTATTTTTCCAAAATAAAAAAATAATTAATTAGCATTAAGTTTTTTCAGGAAAATAGCTTTCAGAAATCGTACAGTAACCCTAACAATATTTCAATAGATACTAGTTTGCTAATTATTAATGCTGAAAATAGATGTTAGTGAAACATCTGGTATTAAATATGAAAACAATGATTCAGAATTGACAAATGACACTAGTATTTTCCAAAATGAAGAAGCAGAGAAACTTTCTACCAACTGTAAAGAAATTCAATAAAATACTATAGCAAAATTGGAAAACGACTTAGCAAATAATGAAATAATTCATGGTTATAAATTTTTCTTCGAAAAATTTAACCAAATTGCAAACAAAATTATTGAGATTCCATTCAAAAACCCTTCCATCGAACTTTTCCAATTTTCTTTATTTGAAAACAATCGATCAACATAATGGATCGCTTCAATTAGCAATGGCTAAAATCACTCACTGCTAAGTTGCTAAATAATTCGCACACTTACAAAACAAAACAATACAAACCAAAAAAACTAAAATTAATGCTTATTTTGTTTTCAGATTTTCTATAACAGTATGATTTAAAAAGTGGATATAATAAAAATTTTTTGGCAAAAATTTATTTAAACGTTCTTACGAAATTATTACTAAAAACTTGAAAATGCTAAAACCCAAAAGAGCAAAACGTCAAAAATAATTATTTTTTTTAAAAAAAAAAAAAAATTTTAATCAATGTAATCATTGCAAAAAGAAGTAATTTATTCTTTAATTGCGACGCATTAGATGGTTACATAAAATTTTGGCCACCCGATCAATGATGTAATTGGTTTCGTCCAATGGAATGGGAAGTGGTGGGGGAATTAGTAAACCCTGACTATTACTGCCAATTATGGTCAATAACGCCAATCAATTCAATTTTTGGTTCACATGAGTTCCCATATAAACAAAAATTACGATTCTGTGCAGGCTCTCCCCTCTCCCTTATAGTAAAAAATAAAAAATATGTCACATAAATAGGGAAAAAAAAAATTATAAATATATATAATATATATAAAGTAGAGGGGTAACATAAACACAGAATCAAGTTATCTCAAATTTTATCGACCTTTTGTTTCTAACACAAATGTTTTTCGTGCAATTTCGCAGCACTATAATCTTCAGGCCCTAACTTATACTGGAAAATCTATCCTATGCCCTGTCAATTTCCCGGTGTTACCATTGTTTAAGCATCGTGTATTGATATTTAACAGTACACTTGGGAATTCATATCATGGTATACTTTATGGGTGTTACTTATAATTAGGATTAAGTTCAATATTCTGATGATGTTTTATATATATTAATGAATGTTGTGGCCTTTATTTTGATTTATTAATAATTAAGGCCAATGTTGTTGATTTTGGCTTCTAGTGGGAAATCCTGGCCTTTTAGTTAGATTCTGCAATAGTAAAAGTTCCATGACACTATTAAATTAACTTCCAATGGTCTTTCGGTGACAACACTGACTAAGGCGATTTATGAGAACCTCTCTTTATTATGAAGTGGCAATTTTTAACTTTGAAGAATTAGCATTATACTTATGCGCAGGTACTTTTGAAGATATATAATGTGCCCTAGCCTATTTTTATCTTTTTCAATTATACTGTACTTTTTTGATAACATTGCAATAAAGCTAACTAATCTGAATCATTATTTATATAACAGAAAGAGGCAATATAATAATTAATACTGAAAGATCAATAATTATAACAAAAAATAACTAATGCCAATTTTTTTATATAAATAAAATTTATAGTAATAGATTTTTTTTAATTGTTGAACTTTTGCAAACCTATAAATTAGTATTCTAATATTAATAAGTATGTAGTAGAATTTTTTTACTTTAATATTCAGAAAATACATAATTGTATTTATTTATTTTTAGCTTTGATTAACATTAAATTATAATTTTAAGTCATGTGCTATAAATATTTTTGATGAATTATCTTAATATTATATTTGGAATAGAGTAAACATTTTAATATTTATAAGTCTTATTGACTAGTCAAACAGTGACTTAGTTAAAATAAAGTTTAATTAAGCAAAAAGAAATAACAATGAGTATTAATTGTATAAAGTGGCATATATATATAATGCTAACATAACATTTAAATAACTACTATCTTATAATATAAATTTTATCTTTAAGTTTGATACTCTTTTACAGTTATTATTTTATATTCATCTAAACTACTTGTTTCTTTAAACTCTTAGCACTTATGTTTTAGTTTTGATAATTTGTCACAGGATATATGCAATTCAGATAATCAATTTACTGATTGTAAAACCTTTGTGCTTAACTTTAAAAGTCTTATTGTAAATTAACAAGTCACTGTTAATAAATACACCAATGCTACTGCTAAATCACTACTTGCTAAATATAAAAAAGTAGCAGAAAGTAGTAAAGATTTATTTGAAGCAATGCTAGTCATTACTCAGAACCTTATAATTGGAAAACAGAGTTGATAATAATAAAATATATCTGGAAAGCTTAGGCACGAAGTGCTGAACCATAAATACCTGTGCTAAAAACAAATATGATTCTTGAATCTTATTGGAGATTGATCAAAAGAGACTATCTCTATAGATTCAACAAACTGTGCATAGATCTTTTAATTTGGGTGATTATTGATTAACTCATTTCTCAATATATTACTAAATTTCAAATCTTAGAGATTTAATCCATATACAAAATTTTGTAAGTAAATTTTTTTTTAAAATGTTATAATGTGTATATTAATTGTTTTGTAATGTTACTTGTTTAATAAGGATTTATAATCCTCTTATTAGCTCTGACTTCAAAGAGCTTGCATACAGAAGTGCTATTGTGAATTGCCTTCTGAGTAATGCATTTATTGATTTAAAAAATATTCAAGTTATTATATATGTCTAAAGAATAGTTCTATATCAAAATCCCAAAAGTTAAAATTCTGTAGTTTAATTATAATATCAGGTTCTAATATTCAAACCCATTTACAACACAGCAATTAAATTTCAGAAGTTTGACTTTTGAAATTTTAATATAAACTTTTAAAGAACTATTTTTAAAATAAGCAAAATATGCATCAATGTGTTTTTTAGATTTGGGCCAAAGTTTCAATAAATCACTAATAAAACTAAATTTGTTTTTTTAATAGAGAAAAGATTTCTAATAATAATTGCAAAAAGCAAATCAACAATATAAAGATTGTTGATATATATAGAAATATGATATTACTTATAAGATGAAAATAGAAAATATAAAGCTCAGTGTATACATTGCTGAAATCATTAGCAATACATTTATCAAAGATATTAAAAAAGAAAATCATGATAAAACAAAAATACTGAAAGGTAAGTTGTTCATATAAAATATATGTTAATATATGTTAATACTGTATATATTAATATTATTAACTATAAAATTCAATAGCAATATAATTGAGCCTATACAAATTGTAAAAAGTTCTAAAAAATAAAAATATAGATGCTGATATAATTAAATTTGTAGAAACATATAGCATTGTGGTCTATTGTAAGTATTTAATTTTATTTATAGTTAGTAGTAATTTTTCTTAACTATTATTTAATAAATTTTTTTTATAGAAAAAAATATATCATTTACTCCATATATCATTATATGATAGAGCCTATCTTATAGATAAGATAAATATATTTTGTCTTCTAGATAAAGCATACAAAATAAAAAATTTAAATTGTATAGTTGAATAAGTTTTATGTTTTAAAGTGAGTATATGATTTATAGAATTCACTTTGCTATTTTAAAAAGTTAAATTATTATTAATCAATTATATTTAAAAACAAATATTAAATCAAACAAACCTTCTTGAAGAAGTAGTCCTACTCAGAAGTCAAAAATAACAACCTCATAGTATAGACAATACCAAAGTTTAATTTTATTATTTGTTTATTTTTTCTTAATTATATATTTTTATTTTATTTTTTATTTTTTTTCTTTTTACTAACTAATAAAGATTTTTAAAAATTAATAAATTATTAATAAAGTTTTAAAATTTCTTTCACAATTTAATATAAAATCAAGTTTTATTTTTCTAATTCAAAATTAACTTTATAGCTATTCTTATAAATTTAAAACAACTAATAAAATTGTTTTAGCTAAATTGATAAGTTTTTAAATTTGGTATAATTTGTATTAGATTTTGATTACTGCAATATTAATAATACCAAATTCAAAAACAAAAACTTATTGGATCTGAATTTAATAAACTTTTGTTCTTAGGTATATAAAATATATTTGGTGTTACAAATATTTATTTAATAATTATCTAAAATTTAGCAAATGTAATGATATACTTAATAGTAAAATAAATAAATTTGTAGAATAAAAATAAATATTATAATTAGACTTATCCTAATAAAATTTCAAGAAATTAGCTAAAACTTTCTTAAAATTTATATTAAAATTTATTTAAGTTTTATATTATTAAAGTTATATAATTGTATATATATATAAGATTATTAATACATATATATATTGTATAAAATTTTCATTTAAATTTTATAATATATAAAAATTTTAAAATTTTATTTAGATTATGATATAAAAGTTATTTAGTTATAATATATAAAATTTATATATATAAGGATTTAATAATTTTTTGCTTATGTGATATAGTGCTACTCTTATTAATTATGTAATACACATGCTTGGAGATATAATCTGATGATCATTGATTATAATCATCAGTTTTCTTTTTGAATTTTTTCTATTATTTTTACTAACTAATAGTTTTTTCTTTCTTTTAAATAATAGATTTTTCAGTTGTTATTGTCATTACTAGTGTTATTGATTCTGCCAAATTATATCGCCATAGTTAGAGCAATTACCAGTGTAGTTTTTGCTGCTTTTGGTACATGTTATTTTGGAATCACTGATGTAATTTGCATAGCTTTTATGCCTTCTTATTTCATTAGTGTTGTTAATTTTATTGGCATATAAAATTTTTGATATAAACATTCTAGTGACAATACTAATTAGAGTAATTGTGTTGTGGATTTTGTTGAAGTATTTAGAGAAATAAGTTTATTATAACTAATATTTTTTTCTTTTCTTTGATCATCACTTATTGCTTTTCTGGTACTATTTGAAAATATTTTTGTTATTGGTATTATTATTATTGGAATAAATACTTTTTTTTTTTAATATTAAAAGGTAGAACCTCGCTTATATCTTTATTGAGTAATTTATATAAGTAAACATAAAAAACAAAACTAAATGAAAACTTAATTCATATATAAATGAATAAATATAAACTACATACAAGAATAAAAGCTCAGGCTAATTTATTTGTAACCTAAACCTACTAGAGTAGTCAAGACTTATCTAGATTTGAATAGTTAATATATGATTAGTAGAGATACTGAACTGGATCTACAAAGTGAACCAGATATTAAATTTACATTGAGCAAGCCCAGCTGGGGGTAAGAAAAAAAATCAGAATGTAGTTGATTAGGTAAGTTGTATAAACAGTTATATATAAAAATGTTATGAGTTTTAGTATAGAGACGAGTAGAAGATTGTTGACTAACTTGAATAGAGGTAGAATATGATAATATTTGATATACTTTTTTCTAGATATACAGTATGATTTCCATATTTGTTCATATATTTGATTAAAAATTTTGATAAGGATTTTGATAATTAGCTGTGAAGCTATTGAATAAGATATGACAAATAGTAATATACATTAGACAAGTGGAATAAAAATAAGACCTTTAAGTATAGAATAAAGGGAGTATGAGTAGAGAGTAGAAGGATGAATAGAGAAGAAAGAATGTGATGAAATTGTATATATTAAATAATTAAGTTTGTGAGAAGCAAGATCAAGGTTGGTATTCAAATTAATTTTTGAAATAGAAGAATTAATAATTTGAAATAAGAGATTATAGTGGAAACATAAGTACTAGTGAGAATAAGAGTCAGGAAGATTACATTGAAAATAGTTAGAAGATGGAAATAGATTAGGTAATATAAAATGAAAATGAAAGTGTATAGGTAGACTATTAAGTAATATTTTAATTTTTTAAGATTTAAAGTGACTAAGTTTAGAATTAGTGAAATAGTGTGAACATTTATAATTATTGTTGAAGTAAAGCCATATAGAATTCCAGTCAATAAGGTTAGAGAAATGTGATCATTCATCAGTATGTTTTTGGTAGAATCATATAAAGATAGTATTAGCATTGCAAATATTTTTAATGAAGCATCTAGAAGGGCTATAAATCAAAAAGTTTTTCTATTGAAGGACTATAATCATTGGGAATATCTGTTATAATTTTTAAGCTTCCAAGAAATAAATAATACTAATTTTTATGTATCAATAGAATTTAATGTAAATAATTGTATAGCA